TCTTAAAGTTGCATTTGCTTCAGATTCAAATCCACCGACAAATAAATTTGTTCCATGGAATGAACCATTCACTATGATAACGAAGGCAGTAGAAGCTAGTGGAAACAGTTACTATTACAACTGTAACCCAGCAACTATTTCGAACAAAGATGGATTTAATGAATGTTTCATTCATCCAAAGTCATTCTCTTTAGACCTAACATTTATACAGAACTTGTAGAACATATATACAAACGAGGCTTTATGTTTTCCTGTTAAAGTTATGGATTGGATTCCTATGGATGGTTCATTCTCAAAGAATACAGATAGTTCAAGTGCAACATTTACAGCAGCTTATACGCCTATTAATGTTAAAAGTATTTGGGCACTATTTAGAAAGAAAGACAACTATTATGTTAATTTTGAGAACCCTAAGTTTAAATATCTTCAGCTTTCCATGGGAGCTTATGGAAATATGCCTGCAGAACCTGAAAAATCATATGGACCTGTATTTTATGAAATGGTTGCGAACGCTTGCAATACAAACAATGATATGATAGGATTTAATGAAGATGTTATGAGGTCATTGGTGGATGATGGTAGTGTGGAACATAAATGGGATAGCTATGACAACACACATTTCTTATGTGGTTTTCCAACAGAAGTGGACTTTTGCTTCCAGCAAGGTCAAACATCTACTGCTCCAATAACATACAAATTGTCTGTTAAAGGACCTATTGAACTAGCAACAGAAAATGTACCAAAGCCACTTATTGGATTTATGAGGGATTGTTGCTTTGCAATACAAGTAAGACAGTCAGGCATACCAATAATAAGACTTGACGACTATAACTTAGCAACTGACGACAGTGAGAATAAAGGATGAACGTTTATTTTTAAAGCTTATAAATGAGTTCTTCATCAAGCTCTCGTGAACCTTCACCATCTGTGAAACAAACTTTACCAAACGATTATGGAGCACCTATTGAATATTTCTTACGAGCTGCACAATGGCAAAGAGCAGTCTCACCAAGGTTAGGTGTTCCACCAGCTCCTGTCAAAAATAGCATTTGGTCAAGTCCTTATATAAAATATGGTCTCCCACTAGGTTTGCTAGCTACAGCAGGAGCAGTAATGATGTTGAAAAGAAACAAAGCAAATGTTATAATAATACTGAAGTAGCTGAATTTGAACAAACTCCGACACCATCGCCAAAACCAACGTCAAAACCAACGCCTTCACAAACAACACCTTCAATGACTCCTGAACCTATGAAAGTACAAACTCCTGTTCAAAAGTCAACTCCAAAACCGACTCCAACATTTAAACCAGAACCTACTCCTCAAATAAATCGTAAAACTCCTGCGTTTCCTTACTGAAAAAATAATGTTAGTTTTATTTTATTTGAACATTTTATTTAGAGTAAAATGACGACTAAAGTCACTGAAGCAATGAAACAAAAATTTTTGGTAGAATACATTAAATCAGGAGCGGTTCCAGAAGGTTTTTACGTTCATACTATGAAGGATGGTAGAGTTCAGTTTAGAAAGATAAAGCAACCATTAGATAGAGAAGGTATATTAAGGAAGATTAAACTTCATGAGGACAACATTGCTGAACTTAAGAAGAAGTTAGAAGAGTTGGAGAAAGGAAGAGAGTTATAAAGTAATGAATTCAAGAGGTGAAAAAAGAGGTGAAAAAACAGGTGAGATCTCACCACTTCACCTAAATTTATTTTTGTGCTATGTTTTCATACGTGTGAGGGTGGTGATATCATTAATTTTTAAGTTTATTTTTAAGTTTATTTTTTATTTTATTTTTATATAAATGACGAAAACTATTGAGATAACAAACTACAACGGTCATGAGTTCAAGAATTTGTTCTTCGTTCCTCGTGAAAATACATTCTATCAGATACGAGGGAGAAAGGGTAAAGTTAGTTTGAGCGTTTATGAAGGAATGAAGAATGGAAAGTTTATACAAGCATACGATACAAACGGTAAACGTGTTTCATTAGCTTTGTCAAAACTTACTAACATTCATTTTGACAGTGATTTTGACCTATATGAAGAAGAAAGTGAGTCAGAAGATTATGAGCTGTTATGTGAAGCACAGCAATGGGAGGAGTTGCAATACTTTTGTAAGTGAGAACGTTTATTTTTACATTAATGAAGTCGTTAGTGAAAACGTTAGTGAAGTGAAGTGGTTGGCGGTTTGTAAATATTTAATGTTAAGTTAGTGTTGTCGTTTGTGTTGTAAAATATACGTTAACGGTTTTGTAAAGTGTCAAATTCACAAGTATTGTGTACTGAGGAATGCAATGCCTTCGTACACGACTTATGTATACTAACTGCAGCAGGTTCCTCATTTAAAATTTCTTCTAAATTGTTGTAAACTTCATCAGGATCAATTTCTTCCTCTTCAGAACCAAAGACCAATAACTTCATTAAGTTATAGAAAGTTTCGAAGTTGGAACGATCTTGAAACTTTTCAGCCTTTCTCATGACAGCGCGCAACACATGAACGCCACACCAAATGATCTGGCATAAGGGGATGGCTGTTTCAACAGCATTTGTGATTTGAGGTGCGCAGTCCATTGAAAAATAAGATGGTTCGCGATTGATGGAGCCAAAATATGCTGTGAGACAAACTTGTATATTTTCACTTGTGTCGGGCCAAACGAAAAAATACAAAAACGGAAAAACAATTGATTCCGCGAATTTGCCAGTGGCGGCATAAAATGGTATGCGCGAGCGCAAGAGCTTATAAGTGGAATCAATGTGATAAGTTTGTATTTGATGTGAAAAAGCATTTGCTTCGAATGGGGCGTAATAGAAAATCATACGATCTGGCTCGTGAATAAACTCGATGAGATCATCCGGAGAATGACTCTTAACCATGTCGACAAAAATTGCAAGAGATGTAACATCATCCGCTGAGAAACGGGTATTGATTGCATGAAGGCGTTTAGAAAACTTTTTTAAAGCATCTGTAGATTGTTGAAACATTTCCGGAATGATCCCACTATCAAATGGGATATTAAGATCTTTGAAACACCTTAATTGTGCGTAAACACGGTCTTGATTTGATTCAAAATATCTTGTTAAATAAGATCTATAAAAATATGATGTAATTTGTTGTGATTTGTTTGGAAAAGGGGCAGAATGATTGTGGGTGTTAATACATTTTCGTATGTGGTACTTGTCATCGGGAAGTGTATCAACAAGGAAGCGACATGGACAATTCGGCAACTTACAATTAAATTGTATTTGATTTCTTTCTTTCCTAGTTTTATATGAATAACTACAACCTGCTTGGATTTCTTGTTGCACTCCATACTTAAGCAACTCGATATATGTGAGTTCGTGATCTTGGATCTGCATTAAAATGAAATGATTTGAAAGAATAAAGAATTTTGAATATATTGGTCTTATTTTGATAAGCTTGGTCGTGTTTTGAATAGCTTGGCCATCTAATTCAATTATGATCTTTGAAAATTAGGTGAAATAAAACTAAACATAAATGTAAAACTAGGGATATGAAATTTTGGTTGAACACCACTTGTATGTGCCGGATACCATTGTGTCAAATTTTTTCTGAAATTAACTTTAAAAGTACTAAGTAAGATCATGAGATATAGCAATATATGTTTAAACCAACTTATATTTTGGTTGTACACCACTTGTATGTGCCGGATACCATTGTGTCAAATTTTTTCTGAAATTAACTTTAAAAGTACTAAGTAATATCATTTATTTTTGCATAATATAATGCCAATATGGTTTCTTTTGATTTTATTTCATTTATAAGCAAATCAGATTTACCCAAAAACTCCACTCCATAAGCGTTCATTTGCTAAATTAAAAAGTGACAATGGGCTAGTCTGTCCCTTTCTCCTCCACTCAAGACGTCACTTTTTTAATTTTGCGGTATCATATTTTTGGAAAATCTTTATGAATATTATATAAAAAGTCTCTTTAATATCTATATTTCATATTTTTATCGATTTTTAAAGTTTTTGCGAAAAGTATTCAATTATTTTTGCTATTTGGTCGGGTAAATGTCAGATTTGCGACATTTTCTGATATGATATTTCTCCTCCACTCAAGACGTCACTTTTTTAATTTTGCGGTATCATATTTTTGGAAAATCTTTATGAATATTATATAAAAAGTCTCTTTAATATCTATATTTCATATTTTTATCGATTTTTAAAGTTTTTGCGAAAAGTATTCAATTATTTTTGCTATTTGGTCGGGTAAATGTCAGATTTGCGACATTTTCTGATATGATATTCAGATTCTACGTTGATAATAATGCTTATAGAACCCTCTTGCTATTGTGTCAAAATTGCGAAACCGATAGCAAAAATATCTCGCAATATCAAAATTGAGATATTGAGTGAATTATGCATTATAGAGATTAAAAATCTGATTTGTGAAAACATCTCATCAGTTTCTAGCTAATTCAAAAATCTTTACTATCTTATTCAATTAAAATGAAAAGGGAATAGTTTCATTATGCTTTAAATGACAGCCTTATAATATAATCATAGTTTTCGCTCAATATGCAGCATTTTTTTTTCGAAATCTATGGTCAATGTCCTAAATACTGATTGCTTTGCATTCATATCTCTTACATTTTCTATACCCACATCACTATTCATTGCTATTCCTATCTTTTTCATTTTTGTTTGTTTCTCATAAATTCGCCAAAAAAGTGACAATGGAAATGTTATTTTTGGCGATTTTTTCAAGCATATCGCAGAATTAGCAAATTATTTATTTGGCAATCATATAACTATGCAGATGACAGTATTGGTTTATTCGATTTTATGATTTTCAAAATAATGGGATTCAATGGATTATCAAGACAAAAGTGACAAAATAACAACTATGCACTCAAAAGTTCCTTTCAAATATTTCGTCCGATATTTTTATTAGAATAATATCGGATACAAAATATAATAGGATTTTCTAGTCATTACATTTTTATCGAAAAGTGACGTTATTTCTCAAAAAATGAGTTTGAATAATTCTTACGGCCCTTATACCCGCTCAAAACCAATGCCAGAGGAAGAATCTCGCCCTTTAACTCCTCAACCTCAAAGACGTCAATTAACTGACGAAGAGTTAATTAACGAAACTTTGTCAGATATTGCAAGAACAACCTCGAAAATTGATGAAATTTCAGCAGAAAATGCCCAAGCACATATTAGATGCATGAAGTTACAACATACACTGGCTTCCGTAACAAAAGCTCTCGAAAAAAACATAGATTGCATACAAAAAGTTTGCGAAAAGCAAGAAGCTGAAAATGCTAGATTGAGAGAAGCTGTTTCTAAAAAAGTCGCATGTGCTGATAAAATACAAGCTCTTATTAACAAATGCGCAAATGCAGGAATAGACGTTTATGATATTCCTGGGCTAGATCACGATACCCTCGCACAATATTTCGATATACCAGAACCTGTTGATTTTAATTCAAGAATGGATCCAATGATTCGTTCAATTGCTTCTTCTTATCCAGTATTTAAACAATGCGAATCAAATAAGGACTTCATTAATAAATGTCGCGAAATTAAAGCAGAATTAGAGAAAGCGGAAGAACAAAGGAAGTCAAGAAAGACAACTAACGATCCAAATGAAATCATGGCTCTTAGAAAACAATTGGCATTACTCCAACAATCGAATAGCGCTACACAGGCAAGAATGGCTAAAGAATTAAATATTTTACTCGAACAAAAATCCGAATTAAAGAATAAATTAGATGGAATGCGAAAACTCAAGCAAAGCCATTCTGCTGGCTCTTCTATGATATTCCACTCCTCAATTTAAGAAGATCTTGAAAAAAATTATTGTATTTTTCATATTAGGAACTGCTTTATTCCACATACTTGGTTGATGCAACTTTTGGAATAATTTTGCTTTTTCTGGCAAATCTATTATATGTTTTTTTTTGTTTTATCTATTCTTGTTATTAAATATCTATTTATGTAATTTATTATTATTTGTGGATACATAAAACATAACCCCTGATGACGTAATCGCTTTCAATATGAAGGTATATAATATCTTGTTAATATTTTAATTAAATCATTAATTCAATTTAGGGAAATAGTTAATTTTAAACAGGAAATTATAAGTTTCATCGTACTAGGTGATGCTTTTGAAAAATATATAAAAATTTCTCATATCTTAGATTTGTAAAGAATTAAAAATAGTAGCGATATCCTTTGAATGTTTCTATTTAAAAAGAATGCTACCGTTTATAGATTTCAGGTATAAAAAAAAACGAATCAATTTAATCCAATAAAAATCACTCTTTCATAGCATCTTCGATAGCAGCATTAACTTGCTGTTTAGCAATTTCTTCTGTGGCCTTCTGCATTAAAGCCTTGCCCTCATTGTGAGCCTTGATGGCAATTTCAAGAGCTTGCTGAGAATATCTATCGATGAATGCATCAACTGTTGGTTCGATATATGTAAGTAATGGCTCTAACCATGTGTCGTAGATGTATTTAGCTTTCTTGGCAGAATTCCATTGAAGATAGAATAAAACGACGCACTTCATTTCGAAGTAGAATGGAATTAATTTAATAAGGAATGACAATGCTACTTCTGCGAAGAAGAATAAAGCAACGATAAGCCAATAACATAACCAACGAGTATCGTCATCACTACCCTTGCTTAATACTGTCTTGAATGAGAGATATCCTGGGAATAAAAATGCAATAGGGTATGTAAGAAACTGAGAAATAGGCCACCCAATCATGTAGAAAAAAAGTATAAAAACCGTAAAAGTGAATTCAACACGAATAAAATTATATCGTCCTTATTTTTATAATTTTAAAAATGACTTTTTACATTAATCTGCGCGTATAAATTGTAACTCAGAAATTTTTGTAAAGATTTTGTCAAAGTCATTTTACATGTCAAAAATTATTACAATGCAATTTGGTACTTAAATTACTAACACACTAATTCCCTTCTGTAAGTTATTCCAAATCTTCGTAAAATTCATATATTTTGACTCAATATTTCATTAATTTTTTTGCATTTCAAGATGAAATCAAAGATTAATAGGATTACTTGATATAATAGAGAAATATAATGATATAAATTTGGAAAAAAGTAAAAACAAAATGTAAGATTTACAAATAACACTTGTAAAGAAAAAATATTCAATTACTGACCAAGATGTTGTAAGATCGAATCGACGAAACCATTCTTTCCTTGCTTTGAAACGAGTTTCTTAACTCTTGCTTCATCGAATTGGATTCCAGCTCTTTGGAATATGATGCAAAGGTCCTCAGCATTCCTAGCCTTAGCGGTCATTGCTGAAAAGTCTTTGTCAACAAACTGTGCTGCGATATCTTCAATTGTTTGTTCATCTTCAGTCATCTTTCTGTTTGGAGGAGTGAATGTTGCACGTGGTCTTGAGTTAGAAGCTCTTTCGCTCATTTGTGCACCATCTCCCATCAATCTGACAAAAGATGTCAAATTAAGATCTCCTCCGTATCTGTCCATGATCTCCTGAACAACATCGTAAGGAGCAGAGTAGCCACAGTCTCTCTGCAATCCTTTGCAAAGGTCAGCAGCTGTAAGTTTAGTGTTGTAGCCTCTCCATTTGTTGAATGCGGCTGAAGAGTTGCCCATTCCTTCCATAACTTTCTGTGAAATTGTTGCGAGGACATCATCTGGATTTCCGCCAGATGGGCCGTTGTAAGGACTGAAAGTTGGCCTTGGTCCGCCCATTGGAAGAGATTGTCTTTGCTGAGTAGGTGTTTTGGCTGGTGCATCACCCCAAACATTTGACTCTTCTAATGCAAACTTTCTTGGACGTGGCTGTGCATCGAGATTGCTGTTGCTGTTATCATTCAAGGAAATGGATGACATGTAGGCAGATTTGCGCTGTGGAGCACCTGTGTCACCTAACGAAAGGTTGTCATGCATCGCTGCCTTGCAAATTGGAGCTGGTTCAGGAGCATCATAGCCACCACCGTAGCTTCCGCGGCCAAAACTAGCATTGATAGATTGAGAATCAGAGCAGATCCTTGAAGCAACTGTAAAGTACTGGATAAGACCAGATCCAGATGCATCTCCGATTGAAAGTATTTTGCTGAAGCCTGGCATTGTGTCGCTGATACCATACTTTCCGCAAACATCAATAAAAGCGTTGCGAGAGACTTCACCAGTCATCAATGAATCTTTTGACATGCAACTTATGATGATATCACGGAGATTTTCGTGAATTAAGTCATCTGCGTTGCCACAAAATGTTGGCTGAGGAGCAGCATTGTATCCGTAACCTCTTGAACCGAAACCATCGTTAGAACCACCATAAGCTGGTGTCTCGTACATATCACGGGCCTGTGGCATGCCGGGGTTTGATGATGGTGGTGTTCTTCCACGGCTACCGCCTACTGGGTTGAATTCATCAACATCTGTTTCCATGAACTTCAAAAATTCAGTGAAGTTCATGTCTGGTGCAAGACCAATGGAATCCCATATAACATTGATATCATTTCCTTGAAATTGAATGTTATACTCTTGCATCTTTTTAGCAAATTCAGGCATTGTCATAGATTTTGCATAGCAAAATGCAGCCCAACGATTCTTATTTGTAGCACCAAGTCCACGGATCTTGTCCTGGCATTTGAGAAGGAGATCTCGGTAATATTGCCTTCCAGACATCAAATAATAAATTTCTGTTAGAAATTTCTGAAAGTTTTCAAAGCATAAGTAGCCAGGCAAATTAATGTAATTTCAATCTATTCTATGCATTTTCCATCAAATATCATTTGAGATTTATCGGGAAAGAACATCGGAAACCTTCATCGAAATATCTTCACAGGTGATTATTTTCAAAAATATCTCGTTTAATTTTTGATGTTTTAACTAATTTTAAACGTATGCTTTGAAAAGATTAAGAAATTTCTCACAATTTTTTCTATGAGTATTGAAAATTTAATCTTTTTATAGGATTTGACGATGCAAATTTTTCCTTTGCTCATTGTTTTTTAATTTCGATGAAGTGTCTCTTGTATAAGATTACTAAATATACTTAAATCATAATCAAAAAACGGTTCGAAGCACTCCAAATTTATTGACAAACATTATAGGACAGATATTGAGACTCTAGAAGTTTCGACATTGATTAAATTCATCAAAAAAATGAAATTAAGCGCATTTAAAACTTTTCAGCGTGAATTTTTTATGTTTCATATTATTACTCAGATTTCATTCAAAATTGAATGGCATACAACTCTTCTCAGATCAGAACACTCCACTCCAACCAATATGTTCTTATAAATTCGATTTTTCTCATGATTTATTTATCGGCGTGCAGAGCCAATTTTTAAACTGATTTTTAATGGACGAGAGCAATAGCTTTACTTGTAAGTTTGACGAGATAATGGCAATTACTAAATTTTATTGCGATTCAATGGATGCATTATATCGTCTTAAAACAAAAGATGAACAAGAGTTAAATAAAATTTATCTTATGATCAAAACAAATTTGATTGAAACAAAATGTTTTACTCCAGAAAATCTAATGAATGCTATATTTGCATGCATTCCATTAAATAATCATTACGCAAGACAGTACTTCTTTTTAATCAAAAAGATTTACGATGATTATCATGTCAGGCAAATATACAACAGTCCCTCGGTATTTACTTACTTGTTTTTTAAAGAATATCATATTATTTTAGATGCCAAAAATAAGGAAAGAATCAAAAAATTTGATCATCAAACTATAAGTAATTTTGATTTTTTGACCCAAACTCCTTATAATGTAAGAACTATAATTCAGTCGTTAGATGTTCATGAAGAGAACACGATATACAAAGCAATAATGAATGATGACTTAAAATCATTTATTATGTTCACAGAAGAAACAGATTTTGATCCCAGTATTAGATTCTTCGCCACAAAATTATATCCTTTAAAGTATTATGAGCTTTCATTTATTGAATTATGTTGTTATCATGGAGCTGTTAATTGTTTTAAGTTATTAAGATCTAAATTCAATTCCCAAATCACCAAAGGTTGCCTACAACTTTCATTTTTAGGTGGAAATCCAGAAATATTAAATGAATGCTTGAAATATCAAAAACCAAATGATGAATGCATGGATTTCGCAATTGCATCACACAACATTGATTTTGTTACTTTTTTGATGAATGAACACAAATTACAAATTAATTTAAACAAATGCATAGAGTACAAGAATCTTCAAGCATTTTTTATTTATTTGGATCAAACAAAAGATATCAAAAATTGCTTTGTTAAATCCACAAGCTTCAATATACCATCTCTTTGTGCATATTTGCTTAATAATGGTGCAAATCTCAAGATGTGTGATGAATATTTTACACCTTTTCAAACTGCTATTAATTATGATTGCCTAGAAATGGTAGAATTTCTTATTGATTCTGGAGGAAGTATTCATACAGTGGATGAATATGGTAAAAGCCTCCTTCATGATGCAGCGGCAAGCAACAGCAAACGAATTATAGAATTTCTTATTGCGCATGGTTTAGATGTCAATTGTAAAGATAATGATGGTTACACACCTCTACATCAAGCTGCAGAATTTAATTGCTTAGAAGCTACCGAACAACTTATTGTTCATGGTGCAAATATCAATGAAAAGTGCGATTTAGGTGATACAGCACTTCATATTGCCGCAGAAAATGATAGTATAGAAGTTGCTGAGTATTTTGTTTCACACGGCATTGATATTTTTGCTAAAAACAATGAAGAGAAAGATGCTGCATATATTGCTGCATGGGAATTCCATAAAGAAATATTGAACAATATAATTTCATATCTTCCAAATGAAAGCGACAAAGATTCTTATTATGAAATAATGGATAGAGAAAGATAGTCCAGCAAAAATTTCTCGCCAAGAATTTCGTATAAATATACTTATCCACTGCCATGAAATAGAATTTATGAAAATAGACATTATTGTTTCAATATATTTGTGTTGCAAAATAATTTTGCAAAGAGAGTAAACGTTCCAAATTCTACTTTAGTGTTATTATTTTGTTTGAAGTGTGAAACTATATGTGCATATCAATGCTTTAATTGCTTCAATAATACTCAAAATTTTTGTTGTTTCAATAATAATAATAATAATAATAAAAATATCTTATATAACAATTTTGATATGCCCTTTATATCAAGCATCTCTGAAACGCATATGTAAGGCTATTAATATCGATTTTTCAGATCATTTATCCCGGTTTGAATCCGCTCTCAAAAAATTGAGAATATTTCAACTTATGGCAGAATTCATAATGTTTTCTTGTTTTCCCATTATTGCAAGATCATGGAATGCAGAAGCTCTGACACTTGCGATGGAAATGATGTTTATTGGCAGCGGCGATGATGGAAAGAATAATGTAAAACAAATAATGAAATTCACAAATGAAGAATATGAGAGATTATCACTTTTTGGAGCATAGATAGATATTGTTGAGAAATCTCCACACAATACTAGATGTTTTAATCATTGGCGAACTACAAAAATTGGATTAGGAAATAATTCAAAAAATTATAATACTGAAGATTTATCTAAGATGCTAGGAAGCTTTGAAAAGAGTTTATTCCCACAAACAATTCAGGGAGCATGGCCAATAAACGTAGCTTGGAAATCATATTTTGGTTTATTTTTAGAAGCATTTAATCCAACAAATATTGCAAACTATTATTCAAATAATCATACAGAAGGTGATAATAATGGAAAAGATTTCGAAATATTCTATAAAGGCCGAAAAACTAATATTCATGATTTTTGGGGATCTTTATGCGGCAGATTGACAGGGAAATATCCATTTAATTCAAATGTATGGAGTGATATTGATAAATATGCGCATGATATCACACTTGTATATAGAAATGTAACCCATTACCAAAATATTAATGATATTTTAACACAATCTTATAACATTGCTAAAGATGTTGTTTATGTTGGTGTAAACGAAGGAGAAATTCTTTCGGACGAATACGTTGAGAAATGCTATGACGTGACTTCAAAACAATTAGCCAGCGCAGCGTTTTCTCTTGCTGATAAACAGCGTACACTTGGAGTAGTTCCACCAAAAATAGAATATGTTAAAGCTCCATATTCAGGATCCTTTTTATTAGGAATTTGGATGTTGTTATTGATGTTCCCATTTGCTATATTTATTGGATGGAAAGCTTGGTCTCCAAGGCCAAGAAGAACTTCAGCTAATGTAAGAGTATTAAGGGAATCATTACTCCCTACAATAAACTAATTGTCCTCCCTTTCAATGTAATTGAAAGAACTTTGGAGGAATATATATACATGTTTAATAGGGAAGATTGCAAAAAGTTCATTAGCATATAATATAATACTTATATTTAGTAAAATTAATATACATTTCAAGGCTAGATTTCGAGAAAAAATTGATATCTTTTTCGTCGATATCCGCGCCAAGTGAAAGGAAATATTCGCAAAGAGAAGCTATGCCAAAATATGCTGAATAAATAAAGCATTTGTCACCATCATCAGTTTGATCGAAGCAAACTAAAAACGATTCAAGATTCTTATGTTTTCCGCAATTATTTAAGTTGATCTTTATTTTGTGCTCATTCATCAAGAATGTAACATAATCAATGTTGTGTGAAATAATTGCATATTCCATGCAATCTTTATTTGGTTTTTGATATTTCAAACATTCACTCATGATCTCTTTGTTTCTTCCTAAAAATGAAAATTATAGACATGTTTGAGTTATTTTTGAGTAACTTGAAATGTGTTACCATCTTCAAGTTGCTTGCCGGCCAAGATCAAACGCTGTTGATCTGATGGGATACCTTCCTTGTAATTTTTTTTTTAATTTGGGTACGGCTTATATATTTTATCTTCAAAATCGAGATAATTTTATGTGTGTATTAATTTTATTGAAGTAAATTATAGCCATGAAGATATAAGAATCTAAATTTTTTCTTTTTTATGATGCTGTTCAATATAAAAAGAAGATTATTCATGGTATTGGTTGGATTGGACATATTTCATGTATAAAAGAATGATTTAATATAAGGCAAGGATTTGGAATGTATTTTGTTTGTATATGTGAATAACCAATTGAGAACTTTTTAGTTTCATTTCATAATCTCATTATATTGATTGGATTCAATTAGGTGGTGAAATTTTGTTTCGTATTCTATTCATTTAAGTATTTTTTACAAAGTACTGCAAATGAACAATACACCAACAAATTACAAATCATAGAGAGTAAGTATGTAAGCTTAAAAAGGAGTTTTCAAAATGAATAGATTTGTGACAGTTTGCTTATCAAAGCATTTGTCAATAACATATGAATGTGATACTTGTTATTAAATGATTTATTATAGTAAAATTAAACATTACAAGTTTTAATTTTATATCCAGATGATATAGGTGATTAATTAAGATTATTATGATATTCAGTATATACCTGTAGAATACTATTGAATTCCATAGCATGTGAAATAAAATAGCAGTAAATGCAAACAAAAATTTATATGGACAATCAGATCTGCTGTTTTACACATAAAATCAATTATGTGGTTTAAGTTAAACCATAGTAATACTGTATTGGATCTCTATCAATATAATTTAATTGTATTGCCTACCGTATCCATTTATCTATTATGTGTTTAATTTTTGGTGCGGATTTTTACATAAATTATTTGAAATATTGTGTGAATTCGGGCAAAATAATAAATAAAAATTATAAGGTTATAAAAAAGAGTACGTTTTAATACTTAAATAATGACTAGACATGAGAATCATATTATATCTTTGTTGTTTTTAGATTGAATCAACTGTAGAATTTTTTTACATCTGTCTATTGGAAGAATTCCGATCCGCGGAATAATTTCCCATCTGTCATGATGACCAAATGCATGTGGAAATAAAAATGTTTGAATGAATTTCAGAAAAAAAATACAAAACAATAATTTATACAAATGTAGAAAAAAAGAAAAGAAAAAACATAATTAGAACGTTTCTGTTATTGTCCGAAGGTCATTAACAGTAGAACAAATCTTATTGAAATTAGCCAATTTGATCGAACTCATTGAACCAGCTAAAGCTAATCCACGTGGGCAACGGGTTCGTACACAATTGGAGATTGATCTCATGATCCTTAGTTGTACGGCAACTGGAATATATTGACGAATATTAACAAAATGAGCGTTTTTCCTTTCAAGGAAAGGAATTGAGAGTAAAAGAATCGGATCTATATGATCTGTCTGTCTTATCTGTAAGAAGCATGATGGATTAGGGTTTTCTTGTGAGTAATTACTTGCAGAAAAGACCGTAATTACTAAATTGTCGAAATTGTATTTTATACCGGATTCTATGAACTGGTGAGCTCTGATAATTGATTTTAGCTTGAATTTCGAAGTAAATGCAGCTGCAGCAAGATATCCGTAATGTGAGCCAATTCCTCTATCAGATTGCTGGAACATGATTGCTGATGGATTGGGGTCTGACCATAGAAGATCTTCGAGCATAAGAGATCCTTCTTCTGGTAAAGGAACTGGAGTTTTTTCGATATCTTCTAAATTGTGTAAATGTGAAGAAATTCCTCCATGAACACAAAAATATGAATGATTTATAATTGCTGCAATAGGCATGTAATCGAAAGCTTCATTAATCGGCTCGTAGCAATCAGAATAACCAGATTCAATTGTATTCTCACGGAAACCGTACTTGGAATTCATCTTTCTGAATTCATGGTTGCCTCGTAGTAAGAAAAACGATCTGGGGTATTGACATGCAAATGCGAAAAGTAAAATTACGACTTCTATCGAATATTGACCTCTGTCAACGTAATCACCAAGAAATAGATATTGAGTAATCTCTGGGTTTCCTCCCTTACGAATTATTCTTAATAAATCATGAAGGTTCCCGTGAAGATCTCCAACAACAACAGTTGGGCCAATTAACTTGAGTAGTCTGTCTTGATGCGAAAATACTTTTTGCGCTTCTGCAGCAATTAGTTTTACATCTTTATTTGTAAATCGCGGAATTGGAAATTCTTTGCTACCTACCACAGATTCTTCACCAAACCTTGGATCAAGAAGATGTTTAAAGGAGTGTATAATATATGAGCTTAAAGACATTGTTTATGATTTGAATAAATTTTGTTTGAGAGGCCAAGAAAAATAAACAAATTGAATATTAATAAAAAATATTGGATATTTATATTGTTCTGGTTGCTTAACAAGATGTACGCTAAGGGTTTCGTTTTGCGAAAAAAACATTTAGCTAGCAATTTCGACCTTTGACTCCACTCAAGACGTCACTTTTTTAATTTTGCGGTATCATATTTTTGGAAAATCTTTATGAATATTATATAAAAAGTCTCTTTAATATCTATATTTCATATTTTTATCGATTTTTAAAGTTTTTGCGAAAAGTATTCAATTATTTTTGCTATTTGGTCGGGTAAATGTCAGATTTGCGACATTTTCTGATATGATATTCAGATTCTACGTTGATAATAATGCTTATAGAACCCTCTTGCTATTGTGTCAAAATTGCGAAACCGATAGCAAAAATATCTCGCAATATCAAAATTGAGATATTGAGTGAATTATGCATTATAGAGATTAAAAATCTGATTTGTGAAAACATCTCATCAGTTTCTAGCTAATTCAAAAATCTTTACTATCTTATTCGATTAAAATGAAAAGGGAATAGTTTCATTATGCTTTAAATGACAGCCTTATAATATAATCATAGTTTTCGCTCAATATGCAGCATTTTTTTTTCGAAATCTATGGTCAATGTCCTAAATACTGATTGCTTTGCATTCATATCTCTTACATTTTCTATACCCACATCACTATTCATTGCTATTCCTATCTTTTTCATTTTTGTTTGTTTCTCATAATTTCTCAAAAAACATGATAACTTGATATTTGTAAATATCATACTTTATAACGTAAATAAAAAAAAAAAAAAAAAAAAAAAGGTAGTGGGGCCTCCAGGCGCGTTGCGCCCTCTAGCCCTGAAGTTTTTTTTTCTTGGGATGGGCCTCCAGGCACTTCGTGCCCTCTAGCCCATAAGAAATTTTTCCCAAGACCCAAGAGGAGGACCGAACCCCAGCCGACCAGCCGTTGACTTTTTTGTTTCACTTTTCACAAATTATATATGTTTTCATGTTTTGTCACTTTTCTGTCACTTTTCGGGTAAAAACATTTTTATTATTATATATAAATGAATTTTACAAAACCACCGTTACCCTTCTTTGGAAATAAGAGTAGATGTAAAGATATTCTATTGAGAGAACTTAAGAAACTACCGAATGGTCTAACATTTGTAGATTTGTTCGGTGGAAGTTTCTATATATCCCATTTGTGCCATACAATATTCCCAGACTCAAAGATTATATGCAATGACTTCGACAACTATATGGACCGTCTCAAACATATACCAGACACAAACAATATATTGAAAGAGTTAAAAGAAAAGATACCTATAGGTAAGATGGAACGTATACCATTAGATAACAAAAATATTGTGAGAGAGGTTTTGAAAAAAGCAGAATATATAGACTGGGATAGTATATCTGCTAGACTATTATATAGTGGTGCTATAAGAGTTCATGACATTGAAACACTTATGTCAAAAGTTTTATATCTTAACTATACAAATGTTTTCAAAGAGGACATAGAAAAATATATTGAGGGTATAGAGTTTGTGAGATGTCGTTGGACAGAGTTGTATGAAAAATATAAAGACAAGGAAAATGTTTTCTTTATAGTGGACCCGCCGTTCTATAACACATGCGATTTTCAATACCAAGTAGACTGGACTTTGAGAGACTCTTTAGAAACTTTAGACGTTTTACATAACCATCCATGCTTTTACTTTACATCCGATAAAAGTGGTTTGGAAACCGTTATGAGATGGTTAGAAGATATAAACGACTATGAGTTTATATATGACAAGATAGAATATGAGAGAGGTCCTATAAACTGGAGAAAGTGTCACAATAAAGAAATTTTACTAGTAAGTAAATGTGGTTTGAAATAGGACTACTTGTTTTAGGTTTTTTCCATTGTGTCATTTATTTATTTGACGTGGCAGAAAGATATAGAGAATATGAAGATGAACCAATGCCTGCAAATGTCCAGTATATGTACTCGTAAGAGATATTTTTATCTAATATTAAATGGACGCACAGAACTTAGCGAATGCACAGCAACCTGGACAACCAAACCCAGAGAATATTCCAAATGAAGTTAGAATACAAACTGCAATGGCAAACTATGGTCAAGTGCCAACAGATGTACAAATGCAAACTGCCATGTCAAATGACGCTGCGTTAGGTTTGCCACCATGGTATGCAAATATGAGATGGAAAGAGTTTTATACAAACCCCGAAGTGGGATATAAACAACTTTATGCAGATGACGCGAACACAGGAGTTGACCCAGAATATGTTTTCTACCAGAGGAGAAACAGAATGTATGAGCTCCAGTTAAAGAATGCTATGGAACTCAACAGGAAACGTAAGAGACTAGGCGGACATTAGATTTTTACATATAGTAAAATGGGTTTCTTCAGTAGTATTGGAAACTTCTTCAGAAGAGTTGGAAGAGGTATATGGAATGGAATAAAAACCGTAGGAAGAGGAATTTGGAACGGAGTCAAAAATATTGGTAAAAGAGTAGGTCAGTTTGTTGGTATTATACCTAAAGACCCTGAACCAGAAGAACAAGCTCCTGTTATACAACAGCCTGAACCTGCACCACAGTCAAGTTGGCAACCAAATCCAACACCTCAACCGTATTAAAAAATTATATTTTTACCGTTCGATAGTAGTTGTATATGAAACTAAGTTCTAAGTAAAACGCATGGTATAATGGAACTATTCTCTTTCTTCCATCTGTTGTAAACCATACTTGAAAGTCTGAAATACTTCCACTCGGCGGTTCATATAACTTTGTAGGTTTTTCGTAAAAGTCATTTGCCAAGCATAAAAAAGAGTTTTGTGCACCAGAAAATGAAGCATGAACTATAATAGCATCTGAGTCGAAAACATTTTCATATGTTCCATTAGGGTTTTCGACTTCATAAAAGTCCGGGTGTACTGGATATTCTGCAGGCTGATTTAACATCCTCATAAATCTATACCATGCCAAGTTGTTATATTTTGTAGAAATATAAACGTTTTCTCCAAGGTCTTCTATTTTATTGATTTTAACAGTTGCATTTTTCCTGTCATATATAATATCGAGATGGTACTCTCCCTCGTCAATGTTATACTGGTTTGCATATTCGATATAGATGTCGTTTATTTTTTCTTGAAAAGCTTGAAGAGTTGTTTCTAAGTTTACAAGCAAATTCACTTGTAAAAGTTTTCCCTGTTCAAATTTCTCATACATACGTTTTTCTTTGTTATAGTATCGAACTTCAAAACCGACTGTAAATGGGAAACCATGTATGGCTTCTGAAATGAACTTCATTCTACGAAAGCCAATAGCTTTTGTGACAGATGGGTCTCTTAACCATCTTAACGGGTAGTCAAAACGATAGCCTTCATGCTTTACGGTCTCTGTCTCAAACTTTTGACCGACATTCGTAAAAAGTTCATCTAATGGTTTAGTTGTAGCAACTCTTGAATTTTCTTTTTCTATTGAAAGCATATTTTATCTAGAATAAAAATGTCAAATGAAACAGCGTCTATGAGAGAAATACAACACAACCGACAACTCATTATACAAGCTCTAAATAAGAACACAACAAACTTTTCAAACTATTCTAAGATATCTGAGTCATTGAAAGAAGGAAACTTAAAACTGACTTTAAACCCAATGACAGATGAGTTTCTGTTTCAAGACAATAAGAACCATACTGTTTGTATAAATCCAACAAAAGGAACTTTAAACGAGAAACCTATAAAAGAACTTCTTTTGAAAGCAGATGTTGACAACAAAGCAGACAAAACATATGTAGACGATGCAATAGCAAAAGAAGAAGAAAGAGCTGACAAAGCTTATGCAACAAAAGAACATACTCATCCTGAACTAGCAGACAAAACATATGTTGACAATAAAATGTCAAGTGAAGTGACAAGAGCTGAAAACGAATATTCTAAAAAGACTCATATACATTCTATATCTGAAATAACAGACTTACAAGAAACCTTAAACAGTAAAAGTGCCGTTGGACATACACATTCTATATCTGAAATAACAGACTTAAACGTTAGCCTTGAAAAGAAAGCAGATAAAACATATGTTAACGATGAGTTAGCATGTGTGGCTAGTAAGTTAGAGAAGAAAGCAGATAAGGAATATGTGGATGAAAAAGATAACGAAATGAAAGAAAGGGTTGACTGGTACCATGAATGGACATCGAAGATTTTAAAAAGTAAAGCCGATACAGGATGGGTTTCAGGATGTTTAGACCTTAAAGCGGATAAAACATATGTTAACGATGAGTTAGAGAAGAAAGCAGACAAGAACCATACACATACCATTGCAAATATTGCAAACTTACAAGAAACCTTAAACAGGAAAAGTGACGTTGGACATACACATACCATTGCAAATATTGCAAACTTACAAGAAACCTTAAACAGGAAAAGTGACGTTGGACATACACATACATCTTCTGAAATAACAGACTTAAACGTTAGCCTTGAAAATAAAGCAGATAAAACATATGTCAATGAAATATACCAAAGTTTAGTTGGAACAAAAAATATTGAAACTATTGTTGGTGACTTTTCTTTCAATGAAGAAAACAAATATTTTAGATGGCAGTTTGTACATTCCTTAAAAAATGGTATACGGTATAAACTCATTCCGAAAAATAACAATGAAATGTATGTAAGCTATAAAAAGAACGATGGTACACAAGTTAAAGTTCCATTAGACAACAACTGCTACTTAAACTTATATGGAGACGAACAAAAGAAATATTTCCGAGTTTATGAAATGACAGATATGACATTGCCTGACCCAGCTCCAGCACCATACTATTATGACTATGGAGATGACAACAGAACACCACATGTAGATGAACAAAAGCTAACATTATATTTAGATTTTTATAGATATAAAAGATATAATGCAATAGAAAAAACGAGAATAGTATACTATTATGAAGATGACAGAAATAAATATTATAGTCAAGATTTTACCTACCCTGAAAACATAAGATTATATTATAAAAAATATTCTGACACAAACCAGAAGAAACCTGAAATAGTTGCACTATATTTTAAGTTCAAAAGAGACAATCCTGTAATGTCTCATATGTTTGATTTAATGAACCCAGTAGGTTCTATTTATACATCTATGGAAGCAAGAGGTCCTCAAGTAATGTTTGGTGTTGGTGCATGGGAACAAATAGTCGACAGGTTTTTGTATTGTGCAAACTCTTCAAAGGAAACAGGTGGAAGTAAAACGATTTCAGGTGAAAATTTACCTGCGCACAGTCACTACATAGATTTAAGTACATCTCAAGCAGGTTGGCATAAGCATAGATATTGGGATTGGTCAGGAATGACAAAAGGTAAAGGATATGATGTTAAAGACGACGTTAAGTTTGCTATAAATTGTTACTGGGATGACACTCAGGGAGAAGGAAACCATACACATTTCGTTTCAGGATATACGCAAACAACGGGACAAAGTAAAGACTACATGCCACCTTACATGACAGTTTACGCATGGTATAGAATTGCTTAGTCGTCATTTTCAACTTCTTTAGCATATTCGTCAGGAGTTGTCTTATATTTGTTAGGAACTGTCTTTGAAAGTATACCACCTTGAACTTTGACAAGTTTGAAACGAGGTCTGGCAATAGTAGTTTTATCTTCTGCTTGCAGTGTGTACATTTTGCCATGTTTGCCTAAAACTTCATAATATTCTCTTGTATACTTTCTTCTATTTTTACGAACACGAATGTGAGTACCTGTCGAGTTCCCATTGTTGTCATAGTCAATAGTATTTTCATATGGGTCGCGTTTAGGTATTTCTATTTTTACTTTGTCACCTTTCTGAAGTTTGAAGCCCGGCATTCTTTCTTGTTTGTCTCTTTTGACTAAATTATTAAATATATAGTCTTTCTCTAAGTCAGGGTTGTTTTTCATTTCTTCGGGGGAGTGGTTTCCCAAACCTTTTTGTTTACGGTTATTGTAAATATTTAAAACTTGTCTCATCTTTGCCATGGAGAAGTGTCTATATTTGTCGTCATATGACATTTCATTTGCTTCACCACCTTGTGGTTGGTTTAAGTCTCTTAACATTTTTATACAACCGTCAATGACACCAAGAGCAGAATGGTTTTGGTCGACAATGAAATATTGGTTTACATTTTTTGAACGCAGATAGTTTTTTACATCGTCTGATTTGAAAGAACTTTCACAGTCAGATGTCAGTTTTGTTGGATGGTATTTGTCAACGAATATTGTCAAAGCTGCTAAGATATCTAAAATATTTTTGGACTGTAATGGTATGGCTTCACAGTATCTTGTGTTTTGACCGACAAATATTAGCCAGTATGGAGGTCCATCTGTTCTAACTCTCGGAATGTTTTCCAAGATATCCATAAACCAAGCATTTGGTGTTGAACTAAAGATTTTTACCATGAGTGCTTTCTTTGTCGCTTTAGAAACATAGGGGTCCTTGTTTGGATTCGTCATTTTTTAACCCATAAGAAATGGGTTTATTTGGCGCGTTAGCAGGAGTTGCATCCAGATTTTTACCCGCAGTGGGAACAATAGCCAGAGGTGTATTTGGAGTTGGAAGGAAGATTTTGAGTACATTAGGTATACTGAAAGAGAAAGCACAACCTATTATACAAACTGTACAGAAAGGTTGGGATGTAGCACGAGATGCAACAAATCTTATTCCAAATCCTGAAACAAGAGGAAAAGTTCAAGGATGGATGGACAATGTAGGAAGACAAGCAGGAAACTATTATAACAAAGCAAATGACTACTATAACCAAGCAGGACACTATATGGACCAAGGTGAAAGATTCTTTAACAGAGGATATAACCATGCACAACAATGGGTAAACAATAACCAACCTCAACCGCCTCAAACGTGGGGAATGTAAAGTTTTTTATTGAGATGAAATGAACAATACAGCATTGAGACAAATGGGTTCAAGATGGATTTGTCGACTTCCAGCAGTTACACAACGTGTTTGTCAAGTTCTTCCTATACCTCAGGAAGTTTTAGACCGACTTAAAAAACAACAACAACCAGTTGAAAACAAACCAAACTAAAATTTTTTACTGAGATGAAATGACCGAAGAAGTTGAAACGGTAGATTTGACACCACAAACAAAAAGTTCAGAACCATTGTCAAAACCTGTCAAAGAACTTACAGATGAAGAGAAAAATTCAATAATAGAAAGTGCCAGGTCTGGAAATACAAACCCTAACTACAAAGTCACTTTTCATAAAAATGGAACGGCAAGTATCTCAAAAAAGAAACAGACTCTCACAAATAAAATATTGAAGTCTGAAGGAGCTTTCGAGACAACAGATGGAAAAGTTTACTTCACTGACCAACAGTTCATTATAGAACATCTCATTGACTTAGAGTCAAAATATTCTAAACTTTACAACAAACACAAAAAGTTAAAAGGAAAACAAAAACAAATGGCATATGATATTTATGAAGATGTTGACAACACAACTATTCCTGCAAGTGAGGTAAAGTCAGCGGAACCGAAAAGTGACGAAAAACCGATAGAAGAAGAGAAACCAAAAACTGAAGATAAACCAAAACCAAAGTTTAGTTTCCAAACTAAACCAAGTCAACCTTCATTAGCTGGTATGGGTTGGCGTCAAAGACTTATGGCTTCAGGCAGTTATGTAAAGTAAAGAAAAAAATATTTTTTTATTTTTATAAAAATGTACGCTGAGTTTGTTGGAGAAGACCGTTGGGAAACTTGTTTGTTAGATGAGAAATATGAAATGGCATACCATTTTAAAACAATATATTTTTAAAAAAATATTTTTTTATTTTTATAAAAATGCCCCCATATAGAATGGATAGAAAGTCTGCTAGAATAAAAGCAGAGTTGCAAAGATATGGTTGGAGAGTTTCGAAGAATTTTAAATATAGGAAGGGAAGACCCATAAAAGTCTATGACAAATTGTCTGGTCTTCGCTACGAAATGGATTTGGAAACAGCACGTGCAAATTATCCAAACAGACTAGAGAGGTTAGAAGAAGAACGTCTTATGGACATGCCTTTCGATGTTAGTGAACCTCAAGTTGAGGGACACGACGGCTTTGCCAGATTCTATTGGAAACATGACGAACAATTGCATCCTTTGAGAAGGAAAAAAGGAAAAGGTGAAGACACACATGCTCCCATGGAAAGAACAAGATATGCATATGAGAAGTACCGTGAGGTTAGAAGTCAAATTACATCCGGTCGAACCTTTACAGTAAACTTTGACGAAGGAAAGAACAAAGAAGGCTTCATGGGAGTACTTGCTGCAATTCAAGACGGAAATAAGAAAGGATACAATCTCAGATTAACCATAACAGATTTGGATGGTCATATATACTACTCACATGGCAATGAACAAACAGCCGCAAAACTTCTTGACGCTTTCAAGACTCAAAGAGAGACAAATGGTTGACTCCGACTCCGACATTTTGAATGCAATTGAAGGAATTGCAAGTGTCAAGTTCGAATGGTACCAACCTAACCCTCAAGCAGTCAGACAACATGTTTGTTAGATGAGAAATATGAAGTAAAAACGTTTTTTAAACCATATATTTTTACATGTCTCAGGAACTCTGGTCTTGTTACAGATGAGAAGATGAAGTATCTTGAGTCATGTGTGAAGACAAGGTACATTGTTCGCAAAGGCAGTCCTTGACAACTACAACAAATTCTTCTCCGAAGTCAAATCCAAAGTTGTGGTTTACTATGAGAACATTGACGCACTCATGACGAACGAAGAAGGGTACAACAAACTCATTGAAATGGGCATGGTCGGTGAAAAGATGGGCTGTTTTAAGCTAGATAAGGTATTTTCCGAAGTTCATGTCCTCTCCAAGCGTAAGTACTGGGTATACTTGAAGACGGCAACAGAATAAAAACATTGCATGAAATAAAACATTGCATGAAGTAAAAACGTTTTTAAAACCATATATTTTTACATATATTAAATGCTTCAGGTTGAAAAACAAAGAACAAAAGTAGCAGATCAAAACCGTTAGACTATATCTTTACAAATGCTGGTAGGACTATATCAGATGAAGAAATTTCATCCCGAGCTTTACAGGTTTGACTATCCAATTCGTTGGCTTCAAAGTCCTTCAGATGCAAAGGCAATAGGATTTAGAAGAGTTTTGTTTTCAAATAGAACTAACGCGTTTATGTTCGCAGTATATTTTCCATGGGCAGTATAAAGGTTCTGATGGATCTTATAGACAATTTGATGAAATGAGGATCTTTACAGTTCGTTCAGACGAAAGTCTTGAGAAAAACTCTAAATGACTTTCAAACTCAAATAAACAAATACTATTGGGAATTTCAAGAAAAATACGCCTCTTTACTAAATGGAACATCCTATCTGAAACTAGAATATGACAAGATGAACTCCACCGTTTCATTTCAAAAGATTGAAATTAACCCTCCAAGAGATACAGAGTTTTTTATTTTTGAAAGTAGACAAACGTTCTTGGGCACAATTTTCTTCGGTTACTAAACCAGAACGAACCATTACCACCAGATGGTCCATTTCAATTTATACTTCACCAGCAGATTTGACAGTTTATAGAAACGTGTTTGACCTCAAAATGTTATGTGTCATGCCAAGTTTCAGTTCAAGCACACAATAGTTTTCTATGTATTGGTAAGGACGTTTATGACTTTGCTTCTAAATTCTACGAACACCTAGTAACAGTTTCTCTGACTTCAAGTTTGGTTCACAACAAATGGTGTGCAACATATATATCCATTGTACTATGACTTTTATCTCGAATTGTCTTTCATATACAAACTACGGAAAAGTGCTGAAAAAGTATTGAAAATATATTTTAGGTGAAGTGGTGAGATCTACACTCTTTTCTCACCTGTTTTTTCACCCGTTGAATTTTCAATGAATTTCCTTAAGATAGAAAAAAAGTGAGTTAAAATGAGATGTTTTTACTGAAAGGTGTCACCAATGTCACTCGGTCCCTCGTCAACTAACATCTTTTTGAAAATGGTGACAACAATGACATTTTGACAACAGTCGGAAAATGTCAAAGAACTTCCTTCATCGGTAAACGATGTAATGAACCAAAAATATATTATTAGGTGAAGAGGTGAGATCTCACCTGTTTTTCACCATCTTTTTCTCACACCGTGAATTTTCATGAAATTTTGGTTCATTTTTCACAGAAAATATATTTTTAGGGTAGAAGGTTAGATCTAACCTGTTTTCTACTGTTTTCTCACTTGTTGAATTTTGTATAAAAAACCAACCGCCAGAATTCGACGGTTCTTAATTTTCAAAATGCTTGTTTTGAGGTCGAGCAACTTATTGGGCCTACACCTGTTTTTTCAAACCAAAATTCTTGAGTTTTTGTCTTGAATTCGGCAAAAAATATATTTTTAGGTGAAGGAGGTGAGATCTCATCTTTTCTCACCTCTTTTCTTCACTCCGTTGAATTTTCA